CTCTATCAAAACCTGAAAGCTAAATTTATACACCAAATAATATACAATTCCCAATTCAGGTATCTAAAAACACCTCCTCCTTCTGCATTCTCCAGATGGTCTCAGTTCAGCTTACAACTATTTTATCTCTAAATTTAAATCTGTAAGTAGTTACAGATACTTCTGAAAAAAGCAGAAAAGATACCATGCACCGTTCTCTACCCAAATGAAAATGATACAAGCTGATTACAGGAAAAAAGGAAACAAGATCATCTGTAGCCCTCCATCAATACATAGCCACTGCTGAAGTTTCTGTATGTGTTCTTTCAGTCACTTCTCTGTATAGGTATTTTATGTGCTGATGATCATTTTACATATATGATTTTGTAGGATATAACTATTACATGAATAAAGTAAGTGTAATGTTAATGAAATCACTGACTATAAAGTCATGCCAAATGTAAAGTGGGCATCCATCAGATAAAGATGCCCCAAATTCTGCATAAACACCAGATAGGAATCTGGGAACCAAGTGGACATAGGCCGAGTAAGGCACTGAGAACAACAAGGCAGAAGAAAATGCTCCACCAGCTGCCCCAAATGGGGAGAGTACACAAATTATCAGTTCAGATCAAAGTGATCACAAATGGCACTGTGCTATTTTTGCAACTCTTGACAAATTTAAAATGACTCATAAATTACAAATAATTTCCTACATACACTCCACTGAATAAATGATAAAAAAGAGACATGATTAAATGCAACATGTGATACTGTATTGGATCTTGTTTAAGAGAAGAAAAATGTTTAAAGGAGCTTATCAGAACAAATGACAAAAAAAGGCAGTATACGCTATAGAGGAGATAAATAAAACTTCTTGGGTTTGACAATTATTATGATTACGTAAGGGAACATTCATGTTATTAGAAAGCAATTTAAAAGGTATATGAGACTCTGCTTTGAAAAAGGGGAACAAAATGATCCAGAAGCCAACATCACCCTTCCACTGAATCATCTCTTACCTTGCTCATGCCCACCAAGATCAAAAGTTGTAAAAGTCATTCCAGCAATTGTCAGCTCTTCTGATGCTGAAAAATAAAGGAAGGAAATAAACTTCTCCATCCAACAAGGCCAAGCTACCAAAATTATAATCCAATACAAACGTAAAATCTAATGAAGCTTTCACTTTGTAAAGAAAAGGATACAAGGGTGAAAATACTCTTCAATTATTTTATTTTATTTTTCTTCAATTATTTTAAAAAGCCAAGTCTCTTTTTCTCCAAAGTGTTTACTACTCCTTAGAAGTAGATATGGGAGATGTGTCCCATGGCAGGACTAGTGAGAACAGATAGTGACAAAGTTCCAGAGGTCTTTAGATTCATGGGTATTTCACTTGAGCATATCCTATAGAGAATTTTTTGTCAAGTCTTTTAGGGCTTCAGTAAATAAAAGAACTGCATCAATTGGAGATCCATCCTCCAACCGTGACGCTGACCCTCAAATACCAAAAGGTCGCCAGGTATTTTCAAACCTACTTGGATGTAATGTTGGAACATGCTGGCCCAGTCTGTCATCTTTGAGCATGTGTAGAAGAGTGGTTTTGCCTGCATTGTCCAAACCCAAGAATACAAGTTTTCCAGATTTCTTGTAGAGTCCTAAAAAAGAAAATAATAATGATAATAGCATTATTAGCTCCTATACAACAAAATCTACCTATATTTAAATTGTTTCAGGAAATGCACAGCATTTTAAATGTGTATTTCAAGGAAACGGCTTTACCTAGGAACTGGAGCACACTGCTGAAGCCATTGTAGATCCACTCAAAGATGAAAGACATTATTAATGCTTACTCCCTGTATAAAATAGGAAAGCAGCAAACATTAGCCTTCTGAATGCTGGTACATTTCTGGAGACGTTAACCCTCATTTGCTGGCCCTCATGCATGGTTATAGCTCCATGTTTTGGGGCCTAAAAAAACAAAGGATTTTGTACCCTGGAGGGAAGTCTCTGGGGTACTCAGATCTGCATAAACTCCTGATTTTCTATCAGTTTCCAATCTATGATACTCAGAGGACTAGGCGTTAAAGATACACTTTCCTCTTTCACTGTATGACTCACTTCTCCAGGCAGCTGCTCATTCACGTTCCCTAGATACACCACAGCTGTCTACCAGTTAACAAAACTTCTAGGAAATCAGCCTCATCAATAATCTGGATCAAAATGTCACACTGATGTGCTAACTAGAAAACAATAAAAGGCATATTAACCTGAATGAAAAGCATATTAACCCATTCTTGTAAACAACTCTAAAAAACAAGGTCACTAAAATCCTACTAGCTGGCACAATTTGCACTGCTCCATTTACCAATTCTATCTCTTCTTAAACAGTATTGTTTAACCTCTTTTATAGATGTGTCTCAAGTGAGAAAAAGATGACAGCACTATGTTGGAGAGCCATGAAGAGATAAGACAGTCCAATCATAATGTGAATAATTAAGACCCACCTAACCCATTTTACAAATATGGACTTTCTTAAAATAAGAAAATTCATTCAGGACATAGAGGTAGGTTCCTACCCAATACTGATATTAACATCACTTTTTCTACTGTTTCCCATAACCCTAGACAAAACAAAGATGACCCAAAGCTACTAAAAGGTGTACATATACTGGGAATAAGCAAGAGGACCTCTAAATGTAACAGAATAGAATCTAGAGCCAATGGTGGGTGTTTAGTGTTCTCAGCCAGCATTTCCTGATCACACTGAATTTTTGCCTCAGCACCTCAGATTTGGTGCAGAAAAAAGAATGATCCCCCACTTTCAGTCCTCTCCAACAGCAAGACCACCTGAATGCAAGGCTTTATACTAGACGTGGCCAACTGCTATCAAACAAATTTCCTGACGTTTTATTTTTCTTAAAAAAGTAAAAGTTTACTGTAAAAGGGTTAGCTACAAAAACCTACCTATATTCATTTAAAGAATGAGACAGTATATGTTAATTTTCTTTTTCATCCAATTACTGTTTTTGTTTTGGTTTGGTTTCTTCATCAGGCCTATGGCCTGACCTGTAAACTTTCAGGACTGCTTAGTGCTTATCTTCTATGGCTTACTATACATAGGTGGGTCAAAAGAAGCTTGGGAGTTTGGGTAGGGGTGGAGACTGACAGAAAAGCTTTTATACAAAGATACTAAATAAGGATTTTTTTGCCTTCTTCAGCAACATCAAAATATATTTTGGTAGAAAAACCAAATTTAGTATGTTAAATAATAGTTTCGTCTGGAAACTCAGTCTCTAAGAAGTCCAATGACTTAAATACACTTACAAAGTTCCTGTGCTTAAGTTTCCACTGTTGTTAAGTAAAAGAACAATGTGCCTCTCCTCAGCAATCCTACCAAACCAGTCATCCTTCCCTATTTTCTTTCTCTACCACTTGAAGAAGCACATCTCACCTTTAGAAAGCATGTCTCATTAAGGTCACACCCACTGATTTCAACTTTAAAACCCAACACATATATTCATTTGTACTACACTGGTTTGCAGTCAGTATTTTACAGACATTCTGCAAAGTTTTACCACATCATTATAGAAGTATTCCCAACTAGATAAATTCTCTGGAGGTGACAGAATGGCAGAAGATCCCATTTTAAGGAATGTTTCATAATTAACTGAACTACTTTAACTTTCCAGTTTATCTTCGCTTGATATCCCTGTTTGAAAAATCCTATAATTCTTCCCTCCAAAATGAAAGGTGATGTTAAAAAAATAATAAAACCCCTTATTGGATCCAAAGAACCTCACAGTAGTGCTACCCAAAGAGGAAATGGCTCTGATGGTGCCTCCATCCTTGAAATCTGAGGCTTTGCACCCTCGAGTGAGTAGTTTTTCAGTTTATAAGGTGCCTGTACATGCATCTCATTTCAGCCTCACACTAACCCTGGAGGTAGGGATCCCTGGATTTAACAAGATGAGGGCGCTGATGGTCCCAGATTAGTTAGCTTAACGAAGGGAGCTCAGCTGAAAAGGTAACAATGCCAAGATTCAAACCCTCCTCTTTTAATGCCAAAGTCAAAGCCCTTCCTTTTAATATCACATAAAATTCCAATGCAAATCACCAAGCTGCTTTAAAAGAAAATAAAACTTTCTTAAACCACCAATTGCACCTATGATAATCCAATGTTTTCATCCTTATAACTCATCACAACTTTTAAACCATCAGTTAAGTAACTAGCACTTTATTTCTTTTCTAGCCTTGATCCACTTTACCACCTTATGGCCTCTTATGGCAAATTAGCTTAAGGGCTCTAACTACCAACAAAAGCATTACCAACGTACCTAAAATTTGCAAATTTAAGGACGGATGATTCAAATAAAGAGCACCATACTGACGATCAGTCAATTAAAAACCTATCCATCACTTATACTGCATATGCTCGTTACTTAATATATGCTCCGAGCAACTTTAAGACACTATTTCAGACAGATCTGGGATAGCAAGCAGCTGGCTTTTGGCTAGCACACTCTGCTTAGCTGCAGGGTAAATGTCAAAGGTCAGCCCCACTGCAAAACTCTGTAAAGCCCTGTCACAACCTAAACAGATGTACCGAAATAAAAAAGACAAGAACAAGGGAGAATACTAACCGAGGTTTTTTCCCAAGCACTGAAGAGAGGGAAAAGGAGGGAGGCGGAAGAAGAAAACACGGGGTTCAACCCAGGACAGCGGATGATAATACACGGCTAAAGTGGGGGTGGGGAGAGCCCTGGACTAGGAGCCAGGATATTTAGTTCGAACGGTCACACTTGCTATCTATGGGGTCTTGAGCAATTCACTATGCCTCTACAGGCCTTAATCTCTGTTTAAAAAAAAAAAAAAAGGATAATTATCAAGGACTTCAATCCACCCCACCGAGGGCTGAGAATCATCCAAGACAGGGGATGTGAAGCCGATTCGTAAACCGGGACGCACAGTAAAGACAGGAAAACCGGTATCCTGCCCAACAGCTGCCAAGACCCCCGAGGGAAATGCGAATAGACCCGATACCCGTGAGGCCGGCAGGGAACCGAGCAGACCCGGCCAAGCCGGCCCGTCCCCGCCCAGAACAAGCCCCGCGGCCCCACAGAACCGCCTGCGTGTCACTTCCTCCCCCAAACTCGCCTGCGCCGGCCTCCACCCTAACCCTCCCTACCCGCCACCTTCGCGCCTCCGGCCCCAGCTCCCTCCTTCGCCGAGGCCCCCTGACTCACGGCCCAAGGGGTTCCTCCGGCGGCAGCAGGCGGCTTAGACCCTCCCTCAGAGCACAGAGCCCAGCAGCACCCGGGACCGCCAGCTACTCGCCGGATATACGTAACACCCCCTCCCCGGAACTTCCGGGTGCGTGCTCGTCCCCACCCCTTCGTAGCGTCACGGCGCTTGGCCGTCCGGTGCCGCCCTACCAGCGACTGGGGCCGCGGAGGGGCGGGCCTCGGCGTGACGAATCGCTCTGGGGCGGGCTCTGCCTCTCGTAGCGAGCTCGGGATGCGCGAGACGTGGCAGCGCTGCAGCCCAATGGGTGGGGTGGGGTTCTGGAGTCTCGCAGCGAAACTGGGCGCTCAGTCTCGCGGCTGCAGATGCGAGTGTGTGTTTTTCTAGACGCTCGGGGAAAGTCAGAAGTGGCAACCAGCGGGTAGGTAGGTTCTCGGAAGGAAGAGTTGACCTGAGAGTCCTCGACCTAAGATGGATTTCCGTAAGCTTCAGCGTTATGTTACAGTTCCCTGGGAGAACCTGTTTTCTAGAAGAACAGCTAATATTCATTGAGTTCCAGTTCACTAAGTACTTTGCACGCCTCATCTCATTTGACCCTCGTCACAGCCCTGTGAAGCCGATACTGTTGTTATCCCCAGGTTACAAATGAGAGATTCAAAGTTCATAATACTCTGGTAACCAAACCCAGGTTCATAACCTAAGAAGTGGCAAAGCACTTCCAAACCAAAACATTGGTTCCTGTTATACTGTCATTCACCTGCATTTCCCCATTTAATTATAAGGACAGCCCTATGAGATTGGTATTATTGCTCTCATCTTACGGGTAAGAAAATTGAGTCATATGGAAATATGAGTGATGCTTTTGGATGAGAAGACACAATATAACGATCTCAATTTTCTGTAAGTAAAATTAGAAATTTAACATAATTCTTATAAAAGTACAAATAGGATTAATTAAACTACCCTGTTTGTTCCTAAAATTCACATGGAAAAATAAACAAGAATAGTCAGAAAACAGTCTCTGAAAAAGAACGTCGAGGGGGATCTAGGACTCAGATATTAAAACATTATCAGTTCAATTCAGTTGCTCAGTCGTGTCCGACTCTTTGTGACCCCATGGACTGCAGCACACCAGGCCTCCCTGTCCATCACCAACTCTTTGTGACCCCAGGGATTATGGCCTGCCAGGCTCCTCTATCCATGGTATTACCCAGCAAGAATATTGGAGTGGGTTGCCATTTCCTTCTCCAGGGGATCTTCCTCACCCAGGGATCAAACCTGCTTCTCCTGCATTGGCAGGTGGATTCTTTACCACTGAGCCACCAGGAAAGCTGTAGTTACATCATAGGCAAGTGAAAATTTTATATGAAAAAGATTCGGTAAAAAAATAGGTAAAGAGAGAATCAGATGATTACCAGGGAAAGAAATGTAAATGGCTCTTAATCATAATAAACTTAAAAATATAGGTTACAGAAAATAATAATAAATTTAAAACTCAATGAGATGCCATTTATTTAACTTATAAGCAAAGTACATCATACGAAATGCTGGGCTGGATGAAGCACAAGCTGGAATCAAGATTGCTGGGAGAAATATCAACAACCTCAGATATGCAGATGACACCACCCTTATGGCAGAAAATGAAGAGGAACTACAGAGCCGCTTGATGAAAGTGAAAGAGGAGAGTGAAAAAGCTGGCTTAAAACTCGACATCCAAAAGACTAAGATCATGGCATCCAGTCCCATCACTTCATGGCAAATAGATGGGGAAACAATGGAAACAGTGAGAGACTATTTTCTTGGGCTCCAAAATCACTGCAGATGGTGGCTGCAGTCATGAAATAAAAGATGATTGCTCCTTGGGAAAAAAGCTATGACCAACCCAGACAGTGTTTTAAGAAGGAGAGACATTATTTTGCCAACAAAGGTCTGTCTAGTCAAAGCTATGGTTTTTCCAGTAGTCGTGTATAGATGTGAGAGTTGGACCATAAAGAAAGCTGAGTGCTGAAGAATTGATGCTTTTGAACTGTGGTGTTGGAGAAAACTCTTGAGACTCCCTTGGACTGCAAGGAAATCCAACCAGTCCATCCTAAAGGAAATCAGTCCTGAATATTCATTGGAAGGGCTGATGCTAAAGCTGAAGCTCCAATATTTTGGCCACCTGATGCAAAGAAGTGACTCATTGGAAAAGACCCTGATACTGGGAAAGATTGGAAGCAGGAGGAAAAGGAGATGACAGAGGATGAGATGGTTGGATGGTATCACCGACTCAATGGACATGAGTTTGAACAAGCTCTGGGAGTTGGTGGTAGACAGGGAAACCTGGCGTGCTGCAGTCCATGGGGTCACAAAGAGTCAGACACGACTGAGCAACTGAACTGACTGACTGAGATAACATTTTCACTCAGGTTGGCAAATGTCAGCCTGTTTACTGGTGCAAAGCTATTGTCAAGGAAGCCCCCACCAAGATGCCATTTGGAGAGGACCTGAAAGACATCTGGGGGTAAAATGTTCCAGGCTAACAGCAGAGCATGTAGAGAGGCCCCAAAGAGGAGTGTGCCTGGTAGGTTCCAGGAACAGCCCGGAGGCCAGCATAGCCAGGCAGGGTGTCAAGGGAAACAGTAGCAGGAGATGAGGTGAGAAAAGTGTGGGGCAGATGGTTAAGAATTGGGAAGGTTCTGAGACTGCCTAAAGAGTTAGCCAGGCACACTTCCGTGGAAACTGGCAAACATGAGACTCCTGGGGCAGAGACAAAGGATTTTATTACCTCAACCAAAGCAAGTAGCATGAGCTTCATGTTGATATGGTTTGCACTTGCCCCCCACTAAGTCCTTTGGGGGTGATGCAGAGCAGCCCAGAGTAGGTTTGCATCACAGCTGAAGAACCGAGAGCTTAGGGAACCCCAGTCTTTCATAATAGACTGCAGGCAAACTTGGCTGATTTTTGACCCAGATAGAGACAGTATTACACTGGCCAGCAGAGAGACCTATCCCCTGCCCAGATGGAGACTCTCTTCCAAGGCTGTTCTTTATCTAAACATCCTTGAAAAAAAAGATAGTTGAAATAAAGGCCTCTAGTACCTCCGCTACAAGAAGTACAGAAATATGAGAGATTCATGGAGAGTTGTCTGTCAATAGGGGCAAACCTTTAGAGCCTTACGTAGGCCACTGTGAGGATTTAGCTTTTATTGTGAGTGATCTGGAGATGGAAGGTTTTTGTTGAGGAGTTTATGTAATTCTCCTCCCCATTCTAGTCTTATTCCCATATGCGTACTCAACATTAGGTAGAGAGGAACTCAGAAACTGAAATGGAGACTGAAATGCACCTGTGTTAGTCCGAGTTTTCCAGAGAAGAAGAAGCAATAGGGTACATAGATCTGTATAAGTGGAGACTTAAGGAGCAGGCTTGCTTGGTGATGGAAGCCAAGAAGTCCCACGATCTGCAGGCTGAAGAGTCAAAAAAGTTGGTGAAATAATTCAGTCTGAGTGTGAAGGCCTGAGAATCAGGGGCTTTTGGTGTAAGTCTTGGAGTCTGAAGGCTGTGGAACAAGGAAGTCTGATGCCCAAAGGCAGGAAGGTAGATGTTCCAGCTCAAGAAGTGAGAGAGATTTTGCCCCCCCCTTTGTGTTTTTGTCCCATTTGAGCCTTCTGCAGATGGATTATGCCCATTGACAGTGGTGAGGGCACATCTCTTTACTTTGTGTACTGAATCAAATGCTAATTTCTTCCAGAAACACAGACACACCCAGAAATAATGTTTCACCAGTTATCTAGGTGTTTTTTAGTCCAGTCAAGTCGACACATAAAAATTAACCACTTACTGAAATTGTCAGCATGGAGGCCATGGATGACCTTGATACATGCAGTTTCAGGGGAGTAGCAGGAATGGATGCTGGACTGGAGTGACCTAAGGAGAGGCCAGGAGGGGAAGAAAGGGGGAAGTGACCCTAGACAGTGCCATTTGAAATGTGGCTATGGAGAGGAGAGACCAGAGAGCCAAAAGGGCATAGATGATGAAAATCAGTGATTGCTTCCTGCATTGAGGGTGGTAACAACTGGAAAACCATCTGTGTTAATACATAAAAAGTCATTCAACTGAGAAGAATGTAAATGTTTAGCCTTTTATTAGCCAGAGGAGTTCATATAATGCTAATTAGAAAAATCATTCTGAAAAGCAATCAATCTAAAATTTGGGGAGGTAAAAGTCTTAAGATTTCTAAATGTTTCTCTTTAACATAATCTAGAGTTTGGAAAAAAATTTGCAAGAGCATGTGCACATTTGCAGTTTGGAAAAAATCTTAATTCTTAAGCTAATTGTATGTTCCCAATGTGTATACTGTTGGCGGGAATGTAAAATTTTGCAGCCCCTATAGAAATCAACAGGGGATTTGCTCAAATATAGGAAATGCAACTACCATATGATCCAGCATTCCACTTCTGAGTATATAACTTACAGAATTGAAAACAGAGTCTCAAATATTTGTACACTGATGTTCCCAGCAATAGTGTTCACAACAGCCAAGAGGTGGAAGCAACCCAAGTGTCCATCAATGGATAAATGGATAAACAAAATATTCAGCCTTAAAAAGGAAGGGAATTCTGACAAATGCTACAACATGAGTGAACTTTGGGGTCATGCTAAGTGAAATAAGCCAGTCACAAAAAGACGAATACTATATGATTCCATTTATACTAGGTACTAGTATAGGTACTGAGAACTAGAGTTCTCAGATTTGCAGACAGAAGTTAGAATGGTGGTTACCATGGCCTGGGAGAGGGCAAGAATGGGGAATTATTTAAGGGTTACGGTGGCACTCCTGCCAATGCATGAGACACGAGTTCAGTCCCTGGGTCGGGAAGATCCCCTGGAGGAGGGAATGGAAATTCACTCCAGTATTCTTGCCTGAAGAATCCCATGGACAGAGGAGCCTGGCGGACTGTAGTCCATAGGTTCACAAAGAATCAGACACAACTGATGAGACTTAGCACACACATAGTTTCAGTTTTGCAAGATGAAAGGAATGCTGGAGATCTGTTGTACAACACTGTGAATGTACTCAACACTACTAAACTATACAGTACACTTAAAAATGGTTAAGATGGTAAATGCATGTTATATGTATTTCACCACAATTTTAAAAAACATTTTTTTCTTTCACTTGGTATCCCTAGCACCTTCGTCTTTCTGTGCCTGATCTGACTTGGCATTTCCATTTTTTTCAGTTATTCCCATTCTTTTTGGGTCCCTTTTCTCCCTTCTTTAC